CCCCTCCTTCCCCTCTGCTTCTCGCTGCTCATCGACCCGCAATCCGGCGCAATTGCGACGCGGGGGCCGCGCGAGACGCGCAGTGGAAGTCGAGGTTGCATGGGTCGCATCTGTTCGAGCATCCAAAGCAGACGGGCTTCTCGCACTGACCAAACAGACTGACCAGGGCAGCGCGATTCAGGCACTTCAGCACACTCAGGGCCTATGCTGGCACACTTGGCATTGATTCGCATGCTAAAAGTGCTCGATCTTCTTGACGAATCAGATAGATCCGACACCTCCGATCGCGGCCTAAGAACCCGTCGCCCGCCCTTGTCAAGCGCTTCTTTCTCGTGGGGAGTGGGCGCGTAGATCCGGGGGTTCAAGCGTTGAGATTCCCCCGGGGGATCCCAGCGCATAGCTCTCAAGAGCCCCCCCCCGGAATGAGCGCGGGGCGCTGCTCCGGGGCGTCGCCGGACCTGATTCGCTTCCCGAGGCGCGAGGTAACGGAAAGACTGCTTGGTTCCCGTCTCTGCTCGATCGTCCGCCGAACATCGCCCCCCGCGATTTCCTCGCCCATGATGTCTTCCAAGCGTCGCTCTAGAGAACCGCGCGATGGGGTCGCCGCGTCTTCGCCGCGCGAGGGGCGCATCTCAGCCGCGATTCGAAGTGAATCGCCCGGCAGGGCGGGAAACGCGGGGTCATGGGCCCCGCGCCCCCCGCCGCGCGGCCCCTGGCTCTCGCGGCCCCCAAGCGGCGCAGGCGTTGATCTGCGAAAGAAATTCTCCACGGACGATATTGTCTCTGCGTCTTCGTCGTCGCTGGATGGGGTGATCGGACGCGCCCATGCGGTCGTCGAGCGGGAGGTAGTCATTATCATATTATCCTTCATGTCCTCGCTGACCCATCGATTTCTACCGCGAGGGCGTAGACCCGGCTCCTAGTTTCATCGATGGAGTCGGATTCTTCAGGAGCTCCCACACTTTCCTCATAATCGCGTGATCCTTGATCAGGATGTTCATCACCCTTGAAAGGAACATCGTTCCTCCTTCAGGTAAGAAGTATTTCGTCGAGGAGCCTTCGGCTGATAACCAATATGTTGCCCGCCCGTTGATAACATTGGCATCTGTTTGGCCATATCGGTCGGTTGTTCTTCTTCGTATTATTGACGGCTCTTGCTCAAGTTCAATCGACTTAATGGTGATGTACTTCTTCCCGCCATGAGAATGTGTGGGGATGTGTCCGCTAAGCTTAGGTTGGCCCTAGGGGTAAGAGGAGGCCAGCCATTCGCGGCGGGGCGGGCGACGTCTGTTCTTGAGCCAACACGCACAGCTACGGAAATACTACTGTGCGGGCTAAGTGGGCCTGAGGCGTCGCCACAAAAAACTACGTTTTCGCTGTCGGGGGCGCCTGTCCCAGGGCGGCTGGGCAGTTTTTACCATTACGGTGGCACGTCAAGGCAACAACTTTCCAGCCACCCTGGGGCAGCGCCCCCGTCGCGGAAATATATACTTTGCACCGTTCTTCGTTCTTCGCCCACTAACAAAGAGAGGGGGGGACGCAAATCATGGCCGGCGGCGTGTTTGCGGCCCCAGGGAAGGGCCGGGGACGTACTGAAAGAAGAGGAGTCGCCATGAATCTGGGGAGATATCATTAGAAAGAAAAGCGGCACAAACATCCACGTTTGGCGCTCCGCGCGAATTTCTTGGATCTGCGCTGGACCCCCCTCCCTTGCGCGCGGAGCGCGCCAGGGGCGGCGCCGGAGGCGCCGCCAGGGCGCTCCAGCGCAGATCCAAGGACCCCGCGCGGAACGCCACAAGTTTATGTTTATGTTACTGTTGCTCTCCTTCGAACCATGGCTTCCGCCATGATATCCACCCCCCCCACAGTCGGCCCAGAGTGGTAGGTCGATCCTGCCAAATCAAGGGTGCCCTTGTGTTCTGTGTCTCGCGACCCATGCATCCTACACTCCTGTGGCAATGTGGCCCTCGGAAGGGTCTTGTGCCCTCTCGCGTGTCCTGTCCAATCGAGTCCGACTGTAACCGTCCCCCCCCCCCCCCTCCCTGCCGCCCCCGATACCTCCGGGCCCGGCGCCGCTGCCGCCGCTGGCCGCTCCGCGGCCGCCGCAGGAGGCTCGGCGGCCGCCGCCGGTGAGGCGGGCGCCTGCGCCGCGGGGGCCTCCTCCGTCGCTGCCGCCTCTGCCGGCGGCTCCGCGGGCGCTCCTGCTGCCTCCTCCTCGGGGCAGGGCGAGGTGAGGCAACGGCACCTCAAAAGGCTGTTTTCGGGGCCCTCCCGGGGTCCAAGCGCACCAGGTCCTCCGAGCTGCGTACATAGAGTTAGGTCGGGCATGTCCTCCAACAGGCGGATTTTGGACGAAAAATAAAACATGGTCAAACAATACCCCCAAACTGCTATAAGATACCTCCCCCCAAACAAAAACGTCCCCTGACTATTTTTTTTTGATATTCTTGCACATTCCTCCCGCAGGGGGACACGCCCGACTCAACCAGAGAAGAGAAGAGCGGCTTGGACAGAACCTGCCGGTGGTCCGCGCGGGCTTCTCGGGCCTGCGCTGGCGCCTGGGGCGGCGCCCGAGGGGCCGCCCTCCGATCCCTCCTTTCTCGACGGCGCTCGGCTCCGTGGGGCGTGTGTTGCGGTGGGGGTATTGGGTAAGGAACCCTTCGATAAGGAATCCGGGGTCTGGAAGCCAGTGTAACTCCAATCGTGGATCGGCCATGAGTATCGCTGCCGCCGTCATCAGATAAGGAACCCTTCAGGGTCTGAAGCCTCCCGGGCTCATTCCTTAACGCACGCCCCCACCGTAATCGACCCGTACCCCCAAAAAGTTGACTGCCCATGTTGAACAGGAAGTGCAACGGGGGGGACACTGGGAAAGGGCAAGCCACTCCTTGATAAAACCGTGCCCTAATTTTGGGCCGCCGCGGTCGACGCGGCGACCTCCCAAACCAACCCGGAGAGTTGGTTCGGGTTGGAGGTGGCCAGGGGGTCTGAACTGGCTGAGGCAGCAGAAAATCGGACAAGGGGGGAGGTATGAGAGCAAATCTGTTCGAAATCCATCACGGTTGACGCTTTTTCGATCGCCAGACTGTCCCATAGTGGCTGCTTCGGGGCAGCTGGTGACGTCCAGCCTGGAGCGCCCTGGGCGGGGCCACGGCCGCGTCGGCACGACGCGAACCTGCGGTACCCATCCTTTCCGTACCCATTTCGCTGCACGGTCTCCCACTGGGTCGTAGGCGACCCGAAAAGAAGGAGGAGAAGGAGAAGGAGGAGGTGGAGGAGGAGGAGGAGGAGGAGGCGGGGGAGGAGGAGGAGCAGGAGGAGGAGGAGGAGGAGGAGGAGGCGGAGGTGGAGGAGGGGGAGGGAGAGGAGATGGAGGAGGAGGAGGAGGAGGAGGAGGAGGAGGAGGAGCAGCAGCAGCAGGAGGAGGAGGAGGAGGAGGAGGAGGAGGAGGAGGAGGAAGAGGACGTGTCGCCTAAGCCCTTCGGAAATCACTCCACATCTCGTCAGTGTCGATCCTTGGGCGCCCCGCGGGAGGCGAGGGAGTCCGCGAGGGCCGCCGACGCCGCCGCCACCGACGACGCGCATGCGCCGTCCGCCGCGTGCACGGCGGCGGCTAAGAAGCGGTCGGCCTGCCCGACCGCCGCCGCGCAGGCGCCTCCCGCGCCCTCTGCGGCCGCGCGGCAGCCGGCGATCGTGGAGGAAGAGAAGCTGGCACACGCACAGAATGGATTCTGGAAGCCTGCACGGTTTCCCCCGGGGCCGTGGGCGGCCCGAGGAGCAGGAGCAGGAGGAGGAGGAGGTGGAGGAGGGAGAGGGGAAGGAGGAGGAGGAGGTGGAGGAGGAGGGGGCGGAGGAGATGGAAGAGGAGGAGGAGGAGGAAGAGGAGGAGGAGGAAGAAGAAGAAGAAAGGAGGAGGACGGGTCGCCTAAGCCCTTCGGAGAAACCCTCCATGGAAACCCTGAACCCAAAGACGTTGCCACTCTTGTCTGGTGCAGGCACCAAAGGTGGGGCAGGGGCAGAGGGGAGGTTCGAAGGAAAACCGTTCCGAACGGCCCCTGGGAGGAGGAAGCGCGATACACGGGAGCATCCAGCTGGGCCCGTTCCTCAGCCCCACCTTGGATAACACTCCCTCTGCGAACTCCCGACATCTCCTGGGGGCGTTGTTTTTACTTCCGCTGGCGTCCGCCCGCGGAGGCGGTCTGGTCTTACACCCGCCGCCTTCCGCCGATCTCTCGCCGCCTTCCGCCGCGGAAGAGTTGGCAACTCCTTCGGTCCTCGAAGAAGACGCTCTTTCTGGAACGCCGCACACAGTCGGACTCGATTGCACAGGACACGCGAGAGGACACAAGACCCTTCTGAGGGCCACATTGCCACAGGAATGTAGAAAGCATGGGTCGCGAGACACAGGACACAACGGCACCCTTGATTTGGCAGGGTCGCCCTACTAATCTGGGCCGACTGTATGGGGATCAGCGACCAACAAAAAACGGGTCTTACGCGAAATGGCATGACGGCCTTACACCGCAGCTTGCGCGGGCCGCCAGCTCGGCATGCTGCACCATAGGCGAAACAACTTACGCGCGACCTGTCGTGGGAGCTTACGCGAGACCGTCGGCGCAGGCGACCCCGTCTTTCTGCGCCGCTCACATGCGGATAGCACAAGCCACCCCTCCCTTCGGGAGGGATGGAGAGCATCGATGGCACGCAGCCGTTGGTAGCCCAGCGTCGTCCGAATACCTAATGCCCCCTCACCCATATCACGCTGATGGGATCCCCACGGCGGCGTGTGCATTATACTCTTTCTCCCTCCCGATGCCTGGCAGAGCGCGCTAGGGGCGGTGCCAGGGGCGCCGCCAGAGGGTGCACGGTTTTCCCCGGGGCCGTAGGCGACCCGAGGAGGAGGAGGAGGAGGAGGAAGAGGAGGAGGAGGAGGAGGAGGAGGAGGAGGAGGAGGAGGAGGAGGAGGAGGAGGGAGGTGGGAGGAGGAGAGGGAGGAGGAGAAGGAGAAGGTGGAGGAGGTGGAGGTGGAGGAGGTGGAGGGGAAGGAGAGGAGGAGGAGGGAGGAGGAGGAGGAGGAGGAGGAAGGGAGAAGGCGGGAGGAGGAGGTGGAGGAGGAGGAGGAGGAGAGATGAGGAGGAGGAGGAGGAGGAGGAGGAGGAGGAGGAGGAGGCAGGAGGGGAGCAGGAGGAGTCAGGAGGAGCAGGAGCAGGAGCAGGGAGGAGGAGGAGGAGGAGGAGGAGGAGGAGGAGGAGGAGGAGGAGGAGGACGGGTCGCCTCAGCCCTTCGGGGAAACCCTGCGCCAGAGGGGCCCGGTTCCGAAAGCTTCTGCGTGTGCCGCGTCTCTCCCTCGAGCTCGTCCCCGTGACGGCCTCGGTGCACCGGGCCCCGCCGAGCCCGTCGGCCCCGCAGGCGCGCGCGGCGGCCAGCGCGGCGTCCCCGCAGCCGCCCTCGAGGGCGAGCAGCACGCACACGAAGCAGGCCGCCGCGCCCAGGGCGGCGCCGAGCAGCAGGGCGAGCAGCCAGCGGCAGCACCCGCAGCAGCAGCAGCAGCAGCAGCAGCAGCAGCGCGAGCGGCCCCGCCGCGCCCTCGCGGGCGCCGCCGCCCCCTCGCCGTCCGCGGCGGCCGACGCGTCCGCCGGCGCCTCGCCCTCGGCCGGCGCGCCTCTCTTCTTGCCCATGGCCCGCGGGGCGGCCGCGCCGCAAACGGCGCGCGGCTCGGGGCGCTGCCTTTTGGGCCCGGGAGGAGGCTGGGGAGCACGGCGGGCCCAGAGGCCCCCCCTGAGAGCCTGGCGTTGAGCCGGGCCTGTCCCCTCTTCAGGGGGAACATCCAGAAGTAGTAAAAAACAAGAATATGCTGGGGACTATTGTTTGAAGTATGTTTTGACCATTTGGGGATATTTTGGGGGATTTTTTAAAATTTGTCGTCGCAAGTCCACCTGTAGGGGGACACGCCCGACGTAAGCCTGGCGGCTCGATGTCTGCGAGCCCGGCGCCCTCGCTCCATTTCGGGCCCTGGGGCCCTCACATACCGATCCGCCTCGAAAAAGCACGCAGAAGAAGGGGGGTCCCGTCGTGCTCTATTCTGTGGTGTTGCAACCTGTGCTGCAACGCCGGACCTCGGGGCTTGCAGGGCAACGTGCAGGCTGCGCCTCCTCTGAGGACAACACAACCCACCAGACCCCCAGCCCGGATCCCCCACTCCCGACCTGGTGATCCGGGGGGGTCCTGGCTGGGGGTGCAGGTGGCTTTTACTTCTCAAAAGGCCACCCCCATCCCCAGCCAGGCGCCTCCAGCGCCCGCCCCCAGCCTGGCGCGCTCCGCGCGCCAAGGAGGGGAATCCAGCGTCGATCCAGGAAATCCGCGCGGAGTTCCGCAAGTGTATGTTCATGCAGCTGTTGTTACTCCTCGAGTATTGCACTCCTTCCTCGACCTCTGTCCACCTTTTCCCATCGACCTCGGCCTCGGCATGTACCGATATGCTGTCAAGAGGAACGAAGCCTAAGCATGGCTTACACAATCACATGCACCTCTAATATACGTCGACCTCTGCTTCAGTAAATACGCATTTGCTTCACGCAACTTATGTCCATTCCTATATCTCGCATTCACGTCGACCTCGATGGCAGCACGGTCGTCACTCAGGCTAGATGTCACAATGTCAAACCAAACATACCCGCTACAGAAGTGCAAACTATGCTTCCAAGAGGCCAGCGCAGCGCGCAGGCTCAACCAGCGCTCCGCGTTTGCAAGCGAGGTTGGTGGCAAGGCTCGCATATTCGAGAGGGCTCACTCGGCGTGAAGTAGCATCAACGTTCCCCAATCCGAGAAGTCACCACATGCAGATGAAAGCAGCGCTTTGACGCTGACATGCAAATCAAACTGGGGCCGATCACCTGTTGCAAGCGGGAGCACAACTTCCAGGCACCACGGCGGCTTGCAGGCGAGAGTAGCACACTGGGTGTCAAGAGCGCTAGATCGACAATCGGGTGGGTGGTGGTGCAGGGGGGTGACTACGCCTATTATCATGTCCGCCTGCTTGGGACCGCGGGTGAGAGATTACATCACACTACATCAGCAATGGACGAAGATGTGCGGTGGGCCTACTCGACACATCAAATAAGAACGGCTCAACAGGTCACGTTCTTCGCACTGCAACGCTTCCTCCACCCTCTTGCTTCCTACCTCTCGGCCTTTCTCGTACGTCTCCCATGCTTGAGTTTCTCATGTTGGCAAAGATATATGGGTGGAACGTCTCGCGCCGCGACGATGGTGCGTGCACCGCCCAGCCGAAGTCCTGTCGCAACACGTCACTCCACTATCCCACTTCCCCTCTTTCTGATTTGTCTACGTACCACGGCTGCTGGTCGGTGACAAGGATACAGGCCTCACTACACATACATGCAAAGGATCCTAAGATAGTCACATACTCGGATTGGCACTGTGATGGTATGACGTCCAGGAGGATGCAGAAAATGTAACAGGCTCGCGCCCGCGACTTGGAGGCAAACGTTGCAAGCTGAGCCAAACATCGTGCATTCCGTATGGCCACATACAGACACACAGAGGTACACACTATCGCGCCCAAGCTGCTCCAAATGCTCTGCCACGAAAATATCTTCAATTAACTTCAATTTTCTGCGATCGCCCTTCTCCTTTGTGCAACGGAATTGTCGTCGTACTGTTCAGCACACAATTTGGCAGCACGACTTCCAGCTTTCCCAGGGCCACGACCCATCGTAAACAGCACAACACAAGCGGAGTGGCCTCCCCAACAGCTCCCACCCGAGACTGTTGAATCCGAACATTTGTCGGCACAGCCTGTCTTTTTACAAGTTGAGCGGACCTCTCTGCTCTCCCGGGGCCACGGTCCTTCTCTTCGTCAACGGTCAAGAGGGGTGCATTTCCTCGGGGTCCCCACCCAACACAGCTGAATCTGAGCGGCTGGAATGCGGGATCATACCCATGCGAATGCCCGCCTGGACTTCAAAAATTCGGGGGCGGTCAAGAGGGGGGTGTCCAAGAGGGGGGTGGGTGCAAATCATGGCTGGCGGCATGTGCGCGGCCCAGCGGGGGCCAGGGAACGTATTGAAATCAGAAGAGGCGCCATGACATCTGGGAAAATATCATGGCCACCGCCATGATATCCACCCCCCCTTGTCATCACCCCCCTCCTTGCCGCCCCCGAAACATGGGACTCGCAGCGGGTTGCGCCGTGGGTCAGGACCACCTCTGGCAACCTCCGGGCTACTGCCACACAGGCAAGCACGCTGTCCATCCAGAGTCTGGGCAGGCCCCCACAGGTTTGGGCGTCGCACTGGTCGCCATCGGCGATCGACAAATCGACGCGGGAATTGGACAGGTCGAACAACACCGAAATGCAGCGACACACGGACGCTGAACATCAGGCGACAGCAGGAAGAAAATGAAACCAAGCAAATGTAACTCCAGACTTCTGAGAGCCGGTGAATCTGGAGGATGCATGGAGCGCGGCGGCGTTAGAGTTGCAAAACACTCTGAGAGGGCCCCAGAACGCTCTGGACTGAATTATCTCCGTCCTAAGCCTCTCTGAACAGATAGATCTGTCACTCGCCCCTGCAATCAATCATTCCGCCAATGTCGCTCATTGCTCGTCGACCAGAGTGAACAATCTAGTCCATACAAAACAGAATGATCAGATGCTGCCCGTACAGCTCTGCAAAAGCTGGCCCCGGAGTTGGCTCCGCGATCTTGAGCGTGTCGCGGAGGCCTGGCAATGGAGCTGACCCCCCCTGGGAAGCAGAATCTGCGGGACCCGTGTGGCTGGCAGTGGCCCAGAAGCAGATGACCCAGATCTGCGCCCTCCTCCTGCTCCTCCTCCCCGCTCCAACCAGCCAAACAAAACCTCCAGGCGCCGTGTGTTTTACAGATTACCAACTGCGCTGAGAGGTAGCCGTAGAAAAGACCTCACAAATGTAAGGGATGCCTTGAGGTAGAGGCCTCTTAGACGGGGTCCGATGCATCGGCGACGTCGGCGTGGGGAAGATTACGCGCCACATCGAACCGCATCGCTGATGCATCGCCGACGCATCGGCGATGCGGCGCGATCCGTCGACACCATGTACTCCGACCCCAATCTGAGAGGCCCAAAAGAGAGCCACTCTAGAAACTCAGGACATCCATGGGCCGCCAGGAGGCCACTCACAAAGAACGGCCGCACCAAAATCGCACAAAGTCGCTCCCTGGTGCGCCCACGGGGCCGCTGGAAGCACTTTCGCTGCCATGCAGTTGGCAACGAACGTCATTGCGCAGTCGATTTCAGTCACGTCCAGACCAACCGAAACGATGGGACTACAGAAAGCAGAGGTCGGACAATCTATAGAATTGCCAAAGACCAGGGCTGGAAAAGAACTGACGTGGGTTGAGAGGCGCATGGCCAGGAAGATGCCGAACTCAGGTCCTGCCCCGGTTGTGCGAGCGCCACACTATGGCATCCGTCAAAACGCCGAGCCGAGAATCATGGCAGGGTCGGGCAGGGATGAACTAGACAGGTGTTGGGAGAACCTCTCCACAGATATTATATGGTATCCAAGGCCCACAAGACTTCAAGAGGTCTAGCCAGGGTCAGGGAGAGCCGAAGTGCTATGCGGAGGAAGCTGGAGGAGAAGATTGACGTAGGAAGGGCCATCAACCGCGCACACTCGATATCCTGGCCGTGACTTGGCACTCAGAAAACAACGTGGGACACTATCGCCAACTCCATGAAGCCTCCGTCGACGTTCAACCATTACGAAGTGCAGCTGCCAACCTCGTCAGAACTCAAAGCAACTAAATGATGTAAATGGTGCCATGCCACCTCGAGGGATTCCTGGCTGCCGCCGCGGGTCACTGCCGTCACTAGGCCGACAACGCCCATGAAAGCACCCGTGGGATCCCCGAACGCAGTCGTACGTGGGACGTTCCTCAGGAGGAGGAGGAGGAGGCGGAGGAGGGAGGAGGAGGACGAGGAGGAGGAGGAGGAGGAGGGAGCGAGGAGGAAGAGGGGGAAATCCTCCTCATCCTCCTCCTCCTCCTGCTCCTGCCTGTGCCTCCCTGTGCCCCTGTTCCCCCTCCCCCCCTGCAATAAAGGAGCGAGTCGCTTCCAAGGTATGCCCGTCGCTGTAGACGTGTACATCGCGCACCAGCTTGCAACGTCCAGCAGTTACACGGATGACTGGCTGGTTCTCGCCTCCTGGGAGCCCCTCACCCGAAATGCCCAACAGCTTCACGGGGAGAGTGCGCTATTTCAGAGTCGGGCTTGAGACTCCCCTGTCCCTCACGACAACTCATCCCCGTATTCCGACCACAGGATGGGATCAGTTCATGTTCAAACATCATGTTGACTCGAAACATGTCGATCTGCCACATGAATGCCAAACGATTCCCGCACGAACTCATCATCGCTCTGGCAAGATGCGCAGCCGAAACTCAATGGAGTCGTCGACTTCCTTTCAAAAGCCGACAGGGCCCTCAGCGTTGCAATCCTGCCACGCCTGTGGCAGGTCCGTCGGGTCGACGGCTCCAGTCGTACAAGGGCGCAGTGGGGTCATACCGAAGCTGGGTCGGACGAAGGGGGGGACTTAGAGGGAGGGTGGTCAGCGAGCAGGCTCGCGTGGCCGACGCTCCCAGGCGCCTCCCGGCGCTGCGTGCGCCAAGGTGTCGAGGAGAGCGCCCGGCGGCGGGGCCCGAACCTGCTCAACGCAGCAGAGTTCGTACTGCAGGTTCGTGCCGTGTCGACCCTGGCGTTGGTTCCTGACACCGCGCTGGATCGTTCAACCTTGAACGATCGGCCGTCTCCGCAACGTCCGATCGTTCAACATCGACCGATTCTGGGTCGCCGGCGGCGTTCAACCTTGAACGCCCGCGCTGGGGTCGCCGCTGGTCGACACGACGCGAACCTACCGTACCCCCCCCCCTTCCCCCTATCTCCCACGTTCGCCCAAGCCGACAAAGCGCCATCCCTCCCAAATCTGAAACCTGTGGCATGCTCACCGTGACGAGGTGAAATGCCTGCACAGGCACATTATGAAGAAGGGGACCTCGCACGCGAGAGCCTGTTGCAGCTTTAATGACGTGTGCTGGGTCTTCTCTGGTCTTCTCCCTCCTCCTTCCCATCGTCCTCCTTCTCGTCATCCTCCTCTTCCTCCTCCTCCTCCCTTTCGTTTGCGAGGTCATCCTGCGCAACTCGCACGTAGTAGGAGGCTTAGCCTAATTTGCCACCGCCTCGTATTCATACCCAAACTCATACCACTGACCCCTTGTGCTAGCAATTAACATATACCGATCTCCTTTGGCATGGAAGAGAAGGGTCCCGAGGGAAACGGGTCCTGGACACCAGCGCACTCCCCAGGACCAACCTTGTGTCCCGGGCCGTGCTCGACGATCAGGACCTGGAAGGTCGAAACGTATGACAAATCTGAGGACCTGTTTCCCTCATAACCCCCATGGACAGCTCCTGAGCCTGGCAAAGTCAAAGGATGATGTCCCCTGCTCTGGCATGTCTGGATACCGCCCCTCCCCTCCCTCCTCCTACCTCCTCCCTCCTCCCACCTCCCTCCTCCCTCCTCCCTCCTCCTCCTCCTCCTCCTCCTCCCAGGCTGGGGGGCTCTGCCCAATGGAACCTCTTGTCACGATGATCATGAAAACACATGCCGCGGAAAAGGCCCGATAGCACTGGATCCGACACAGTCACAAGCACGTCTCTCGGCCCTACGTACCTCAACATGACAAGCTTCTCACACTAGCTGGCACGCCCAACGACCTCGATCTTCAAACCTCGAACCTCGAACCTCGAACAACGACGACCACGCCGACGATGCGAAAGACGACAACTGTGCATGTAGAGTCGCAAGGACATCGTGCCTATAAGGATGTTCTCTGGCTTGATGTCCCTGTGGATGATGTGCTTGGTGTGGCAATACTGGATTGCCTTTGGAACCAAGACGGGCAGATCCAGTCTCTCTTCTCAAATGGCCGACGAAAGAACAACATATCCTGCGCACGACGCCATAGCGGCATTCCACGATGGCTTGCCTAGGCCGCCAGAGCGGGACACCACATGGGAAATGCGGAATTCAAGCGCCTCTGGCTGAAGCCACAATAGCACCTGACAGCCGCGAAAGCAGTGCGACTACAGGGATCGTCTGCCGACTCATATCGAAGGCGCTGCCATCCAAGCTTTGGTCCCTCTTCAGCGGTGCTACTGACCGAATCTGGAGATCCCAAGACACGACAATACGCGGCAACCAACCACCATCCTAGGCAACGTCTGCTCGAAGATCTGTGTCTGGCTTACGATGCAAGACCGATCCATCGACTCTGCGTGAGACTGGTGCAAGGCTGCTTGCCACGACGGTTAACAAAACAACTACACACAAACGGTGAGCAAACAAACACCGAACTCCTGCGCACTGCTCACTGTGAAACATGTATTAGGCTTAGGTCGGGCACGTCCCCCAACAGACGGAGTTTGGACGAAACATCAAAAATAGTCAAATAATGCTATAAGTATGCTCATGAATACTCACAACTTCGTCTCCTGACTAATTTTGAATATTCACCCCTGTAGAGGGACAGGCCTGACTTAAGGCTAGAATGCGTGTGCGTTGCTCTTGCGAGCTTGCGAGCTTCCCCCAAAACAACTAGAAATGGCGGCACCGTTCCGCCCAAGATCTGGCCCCGAAGACCCCCGGAAGGCCCGCGAGAGGCCGTCCACAAACAATCCAGAGGCCAAAGATGGCCCCATGAGGCACCCAAGGGCGCACCGCCAGGAGATATCTGAAGGGGCCCCAGGAAACACAAATAAATACACACAAATAAAAGGATTCCCCATATTTTCCAATATTTTCTGGGTTTTCGTCTTCCCACCCACTTACCATATTTTCCCATCTTTTCCTGGGACTCGACGATTAATTGTGCCTGTGTGTGTTTTCTCCTCCTGAATATCCATGTCCACAGCTGCTGGATCCCTGCCCTGGATCGCTGGGAAGCGGTGGATGCGGACACTTTCCATCTCTCGAGGGCGTGCAGACGTCTATGCCCACAGTTCCTCGATGGGGTCCTCGAGATCCCGAGGCACGACTCCAAGTCGGTGATTGTGTGCATGCACTCTGGCGGTAGCCCCAGGGCACGAAAAAAGGCACTGGCGAGGTAGCGGACCAGGCATGCAGCGGCAGACGTGGTGCAAGCTAGCGGCGACCACGCAGCGGCGACGAGCTGCAACGTGGCGAAACCTCGCTGGACGCACCCAGCTCACAGGGAGTCAACGATGCGGCAACCAGGCAGCAACGGGCGGCAACGAGGCGAAGCCTCGCCGGACCCACCCAGCGCACGAGGCGGCAACGAGGCGGCAGTGGGCGGCAACGTGACGGAACCTCGCCAGACCCACCAAACACACGAGGCGGCAACGGGGCGGCAACGAGGCGGCAATGAGGTGGCAACGTGGCGAGACATCGCCGTACCCACCCTACGCACGAGGCGGCAACGAGGCGGCAACAAGCGGCAACGTGGCATATGATCATCAAACCCACTTAGCGAACGAGGCAACAGCGAGGCGGCAACGAGGCGGCAACAAAGCGGCAACGTGCTGCAACGTGGCAAACCCTCACAGACACACTCAACGCACGAGACGGCAACGCGGCGGGTGGCAACGTGGCAAAACCCCGCTGGAAACATCCAGCGCCCGAGGCAGGCAGTCAAGTGGCAACTGGCGGCAACGTGGCGAACGTTGCCGGACCCGCCAAGCGCACGAGGCAACAACGAGGCGGCAACGGGCGGCAACGAGGTTGCAACATCGCAGATTCTCTTCAGACCCACCCAGCGCACGAGGCAGCAACGAGGCGGCAACGAGGCGGCAACGAGGCGGCAACGGGCGATAACGTGACGAAACCTCGCCGACACACCCAGCGCACGAGGCGGCAACGAGGCGGCAACGGGCGACAACATGGCCAAATCTCGCCCAGCATACCAAGCGCACGAGGCGGCAACGAGGCGGCCGAATCCCTGAAACACCAGTCCTCAGTCCTGGACATATTACTTCAGGAGCCCAGGCCCCGGATTTTCACAAATCTCTCGGGGCTCCCCTCGCGCCCCATGAGCTCCCCCGAGCGTTGCCATATGATCAAGACACCCCCAAGAGCTCGCCCCGACGGTCAAAGGGTGCCCTATTGAGCGTTTTGATCGGCGTTTCGACTTTGGGCGGAATGGGGGGGGAGATGGGGGGTCTGGCTCCAGACCTCTGCTTGGTGCGACTGCTTGCAGCAGTGCGCGTTATGGGAGAGACGCTCCGCCTGCTCGAAACAGGCGCCCCAAAACAGCCAAGATGTACATCACGGGGGGGGGGGAAGGAGGGGTGCGAGGGCCCGCGCCGATTGGCAAAACAACGAAGAACAAAACGACCACATGATCAAGAGACCCCCAAGAGCTCGCCCTGACGATCCAAGGGTGCCCTGAATCGCCGAGCAACCGGCCCAAGGTGCCCAAGGTGGTTCCAAGATGGCCCCAGAGGCCCTCGAGACGCCCCAAGAGAGCCCCATGCACGCTCGCAGAGAAACATCCGACGGAGCGCACAACCAGCTGCTCTGGACTGGCAGCGCGGCAACACACTAAGGCTTCCCAAGAGCCTTCCCAAGAGGACCCCGAGAGATCAAAATCCTGGATTTTCCTTGGATGCTTCAATTTGTTCGGGGCTCTCCACTTTTCGAGCCTCCGACGCTCTAAGACGTCCTGGCGGCCCCCAAGAGGGTCCCAAGACGGTCCAAGAGGCGCTGGAGACGGCCCAAGGGGGCCCCAAGACGGCCCCAAGAGGGGGGAGCACGAACCGAAAAGCTGAGCCTTCCGCTCCAAACAGGCGCCTGGGAGGCCCTAAGAAGCCCCCGAGAGGCACCCCAAAAGGCCCCAAGAGGCGCGAAGCCCCTCAGAAGACACAAGAGGTTCCACAACAGCCCCCAGATGCCTCAAAACAGCCTCCAGGAGGCCCCCGAGAGGCCTCGACAAGATCCCAAGGGATGCTCAAAAGACCTCTGCCCCACAACCCAGGAGCGGTGGCGAGATGGGCTAAAGGCCATCCGATGTATCGGAGGTGAGGGGGTGAGATCGAAGTGGAACGGCGAGCCCCCCTACCGGGAAATCGATTTCGGTTTCGTGTTCGTGCGTGCCGTGCGGGCGAGGCGAAGCTGCGTGGGCGGGCGAGAAAAAGTCTCCTGTGGCTGAGGCGCGGCCGGACCAAATGTTCCCTTCCGGGCGGCCGGGGCCCCGCGGTGTCCCGCCGGTGTCCCGCGGTGTCCCGTGTGGCTGAGGCGCGGCCGGACCAAATGTTCCCTTCCGGGCGGCCGGGGCCCCGCGGTGTCCCGCCGGTGTCCCGCGGTGTCCCGCGGTGTCCCGCGGTGTCCCGCCGGTGTCCCGCGGTGTCCCGCGAGGATGATGATGATGATGATGATGATGATGATGATGATGA